TAAGGCAGAAACCTGTCAAAGGAGGAAATTCAAATACTTCCCTGTCAATGAGTCATTACTGCTAGGAGAGCATTAAAGTCAATTGGCATCGCATAGTCCACAAACACAGTGTTGTATATTCCATTATGGAGAGTAGCAACTGGTGTCTTACATCTAAGGTGCAATTCAACTACTGGTCTCTCCCTATCCAGAGCAAAGATAAGAGCAGAAAATCAACAACTCATGGAAACAAAGGGTTAGTGCAAAGGATTAATAGACCACAAACGTCCATGACCCCGAGACCAGAAGAACTAGATAGTGCCCAACTACCATGGCTGACTACTTTGAAAGAGATCACAAAAGAAAGTCCTAGACAGAATGAGAGAAAAATGTGCAACAACAATCTTTTTTTTTTAAGTCCAGCCTACCAGTCTAATAGTGACTAGTGGAACCCCCAAGACTATGGTCCTTATTTGACTCCCTTCAGGCCTGAGCTGAACTCACCCCTCTCGCTCATTTTCAGCCTCTAGGGAGGTCTAGAAGATGAGGTATGTATGCCTTAGAACAATTCATCATAGGAGATCAAAAGGGTCACATTTACTTACAGAAAAAGCTCGGATGGTAGGAAGGGATATAAAAGATGGACTAATAAAAATGGTAACAGGAAGAAAGTGGGAAAAGGGCTATTACATTGTGGGGATTGCAATCAAGATCACGTGTCAAAATGTACATGAATTGTTGAATGGAAAACCAGTTTGTTTTGTAAAATTTCACCCAAATCACAATAAAAAGTGTGTACACACACACACACACACACACACACTACCAAAGGTAGAACACTTGCAAGACCTAGAAAAACCAGGCAGTCCTATTAAACTTCAACTCTCAAAGGCTTCACTGTATCATATATTCTGGGTTGTAATTTCTCGTAGCCAAAAACTGGCTGGCAGACCTCCCATCATCTCGGCATGACCCTGGCCACCCTCCACAGATGGCTCCGTCCAGGGCGTCCCTACATAGTGAAGTTGGTGATGAAGGCCGCAGCTGGAATCTGCATCTGGAACTCAGCATCCTGGTCCTCCGAAGCTCTATTCAGCACTCTGCAGGAAACCGTCGTGAAGGAATACCGGGAAATGATGGTCGACTTCACGGAAAATTCTGTCATCAAGGGTTTGGTTTTCTGTGGGAATTAAGACACAATAGTCAATAAATAAAACACACCATTCTCAGTGATGTGTTCAGCTTTCGTGATGAACAAACGAGACAGGCTCTCGGGGGTAGTTGTGGATTTTCCTTTTTCCCCATAAGCAAACGATTCTTGAATGTGGGAACCTTTGGCATCTGATTCCTTTCTTTCCTTTCCCAGATTTCCCCATGTCTTACTACCCCCACTTGTAAAACAACCTCGATGCAACAACTAATTCTTGTTCTAGCAGCAAATCTTTTAACCTAACTCAAACAAATGAACACAGTGAAAATTTCCACTTTAGCAACATTCTCGGTTTTATAAGTATATTAAGTCTATCATTCTTTTCTGCTATAAACTACGAGATCACATTTATAGGATCACTGGATTTATTGAAATATCAGAGCACACCTAAGAAAATTCTCATCTTTTCTAATTTATTTCAATATCCACTCAGAAGAACTGTAAGCGAGGGTGATGCCATCTACAATCACATTTGTACCACAGGACCAGTAATTGATGCAAGAAAGGATTCGGGGAATTAAAACTTAGGAAAAACAGACAGTCTATATTGGCGCTAATGAGGAGCTTCCCAAATGCCTATGATAAGGGTAGTAGCTAGATGATATGAGTTTAGGAGCTCCTTAGAACTATTGTTCTTGCCTTCACAGTAGCACTACCCTTGTAGCAGAAGCTTAAAGAAGGAAAACTCCCATGAGGAAGGTCACTGCTGAGCGATTGCCTCACCCCAGGAACTGGCTCCAGAATCTATAGGAATTACCGCAGGATAATTTGGGTGTTTTTATTCTCATGGCACAGCTAAAAGAAAGTCAAGTTCACAGAGTTTGCCTATGAAGGGGCTTCAAAACCTTTGTAGAAACTTTCTACTTTCTTTTCATTCCATTTTTCCATGAGCTTGCAAAAACCTCTCCTATTTGCCCGAGCCAGCAAACAGTAGGTTTGGGGTTTTAAGTCAGTCCCACATGCTCCAAATGCCATGATTTTCACCCTCATGCTGTGCTGCCTGTCAGCCTCTAGTGGGCTTTTCTTACTCATCTCTGTGCAGTCCAACTCCAGCCTGGTCTTCGGCACACATCGGCCTCTAAGAAATGATTGTTGAATGCAACTTGGCTGCTCTGATAAGCTTCTACTCTCTTTCATTGGTACCGTGTCCTCTGTGTTCCAGGTTTATTTCAACCCTCGCTGATTTTATAAATGTATGTCAGTACATAATTGTGATATATAAGGATGATAATAAATCCCATTTCAAAGGCATTACCATACAGGATTATATGTTTTTAAATATTTACTCAAACCATGTGAGTCAAATCATGATCTGCACAGTCTACCAGAAAAAGCTTAAGAGGTATTTATATGATGTATTAGGAAAGTAGATCTGAGATTTACTCTGTACAATGCATGTCAGAGAACACCCGCAAGAGGGTGCGCTGCAAGGCTCCAAGCCAAACACACGAGTGAAGCCAGAGATGGGTGGGGTGCTGGATGTGAGGTCGAAACACTATTCCTCTTTGTGGCAGAGTTTTCATTCTTGGTGACTCAACAGGATAAAGACACAAGGGAACATGTTTACGGAAAGCATGAGGAGAATGTGTCTCTTTCTTAGAAAGTTGGAAAACTCTAAAGTTAAGTTTAAGTAGAATGGATTAGGGAAAGGGTGGGGGGAGAAGAATATTTGAAAGATGTTCACCTAAGAGTGGAAATAAGCTCCTTGATTTGATTGGTGAAGGAACTGTCTCAAAGCAGTGGTTCTAAGCTCAGTACCCAGACCAGGAGCATCAGCATTACCTAGAACTTTTGCACCAAACCTACTGCTATTGAGTTTACTGTGACTCACTATGACCCCATAGCAATGAGTAGAATAGCTTAGCACATTGCACTACCAGGGTGCCTATGGAAATTTGGTTGTTGATATTGTTAGGTACCATCAAGTAGATTCCAACTCAAGTGACCCTATGTACAAGAGAACAAAACACCATACAGTCCTATGTCATCCTCACAACCGTTCTTATAAGTGCACTGCAGCCACTGTGCCAGCCCGTCACTTCAAGGGTCTTCCTCACTTTTGATGCCTCTCCACTTTAGCAAGTATGATGTCCTTCTACAGGGACTGGTCTCTCCTAATAACATGTCCAAAGTATGTGAGACAAAGTCTTGCCATCCTTATCTCTAAGGCGCATTCCAGCTGGACTGCTTCCAAGACAGATGGCTTTGGTCTTTTGGCAGTTCGTGGTACTTTCAGTAGTCTTCACCAACATCACAGCTAAAATGTATTGGCTCTTCTTCGGTCTTCCTTCAGTCAATGTCCACCTTTCACGTGCATATGAAGGGATTAAAAATACACTGGCTTGGGTCAGGCACACCTTAGCCCTCAAATAACATCCTTCCTCTTCAACACTTTAGAGAAGTCTTGTGCTGCAGATTTATCCAATATAATGCATTGGAAACTCAGTAGAGAGATGCCTCTTCTTGGACCCCATGCCAAACTTACAGAATGAGAAATTCAGGTGACATGGCCCAGTAGTCTGTGCTTCAATAAACCTTCAGGTGATCCTGGGCTCAGATGTGAGAGCTCCTAGTGTTAACATGGGAGCCCTGGTGGTGTCGTGGGTGACTGCTCAGGGGCTAAGGGCATAGTTGGAAACCTCAGGAAACAGATGAGGCATTCTATTCCCATAGAGATTTACAGCCCTGGAATCTCACCGGGGTACATCTACTCGATCTTATAGGGTCACTATGAGTCTGAATCAACAGAGAGAGAGTCTTGGTGATTAAGCCGTCAGTGCTTAACTGAAAGGGCGATAGCATGACCCCACCAGTTGCTTCGTGGGAGAAAGATGGAGCGGTCTGCTTCCATAAAGATTTAGCCCTGGAAACCCTGTGGGGCAGTTCTACTCTGTCCTTTAGGGTCACTATGAGTAGATAGCAAAGGTTTGGGGGTTTTTTGGTGGGGGGGGTGTTTCTTTGTTTTTAAGACACATGATGAAGTGGCTCTCCTCATACTTCTTCATCTATTAATCAAGATGTCATAATAAATGGCTAAGATTATGTGTTTCTGAGAGCCATGAGGATCTAAGACGAAGCCAAAAATAAGAAATAAAACCTTCGAAAATGTTTTAATTGGGGTTTTAAGAAAATGTTCCTGAGGAGCTGACATCAAGGGTCCAAATAGAAAGCGAATGCTTAAAAAATAATGATGGTAACATATGCTTGATCCAACTGATGGATGGATTCTTATAAGAGCTGTACGAGCTCCCAATAAAATGATCTTAAAAAACAAGAAAGAAAATGTTCCTGAAATCTGAAATAAATGCATTGTAGAATATTCGCTCATGAAATGTCGTCTCTTTACAACAAAATCTCTCTACTTAGAAGTGATTTGGATTAAATAGGAGATTCCATAAGTGGTTAGCCCAAAAGTTTGCTAAATTATCGCATTAATATTTTTTAATTTAGGAAATAATATTAATCCAGGAAAGACAATGGGAATTAAGTTGAGGATTGTAATGATAAGGATCTTAGAAGCATAGCAACCTGTTGGGCTTTTGAAAACTGAAATATATATCTCATCATCTTGAAGCAAAAAGGATGTTAAAGAAAATAAAATCATGCATTGAGATAAAATGTGTATGTTATCTCTGGAAATGTATTTTCTTCCTAAAGTACCCATGCTTAAACAGATCCTTACTAGTTATTTCAAACTCTAGTCTAATCTTCATCTCTATACATTTTGTTTGTGTTTTAAACTAGATTTCTGCATATTAAAATGCCTTTGAAGTTTTCTGAAAGAGTTTACAGTAACAATTAAAGGAAAAATATATATATATAACAAAAAAGAAAAAAGACATCCAAGCCTATTCCCTCACTTTACCAGTACAAAATCTGTCCAGAAATCTCAAACAACTGATCCCAATTCTCTTTCATAAAAGGATCCCAGAGACAGCCTGGTTGTCCAATGTCTTCCACACCGAAGTTTGTTAGATAAGCAATAAATGTATACAATTATAAAAACTACACTAACTACAATTCAGTCTTTGCTGATTTAAAACTCAGTTGTGAGTGACTGTCGTCCTCATTCCATTCTCAACATTCCAGACAGAAGACAATGAATTCAATCCACTCCGGCCTTTGCCACATTCTGACATTTTCTAGAACTCTCATCTATCACCTTGTGGCTTAACTCTTTACATGAAAGTAGAGTGTTCGTGGCGTACTCCACATGAAAACAGGGCAAAGGGAGAATGCTGAGTATCCCGTCCCCATGTTCAATCAGCGTCAGTTTACTGCTCTAGCTAGGTAGCGTTCCAAATGTACATTTAGCCCTTTGAAGTACACAGTCCTTGCCCAGGACTGTTTAAAAATTAAAATAAAGGTTCTGTTTTACTTGATACACATAAGACTATTTTGGATGTCATGCTGATTTGTTCTTATTTAGGAGATAAGAATTGTAATCTCACCAAATGGTGTGAAAATGTGAAGCCATGTGACAAGACCCTGAGTAACTAGCTCTTACAATACCTTCCATTTGCTTTAAGGGAAGATTATAGATGTTGCCAAATTTTCCACACTGTTACATTAAGGCTATGAAACATCGTTTATAGGCCCAAGAGGCCGGCTGAGAAAAGATTCAGGAAACTATTTTGGTTTTACTGCTCTTGCTCAGTGACTGTTTTCCCAGGGGAGCCACTGTTACAGCTCACAGGCCAGGGCCTTTTCCTCTCCATTCTAGCACTCATCTCTATGGGAAGGTAATCCAAAAATTATTGCTCCAAAAGTCATTTAAACAAAAATATCAAACTGTGAAGCTGCTGTTTCTCCACATAGCCTCCATCTCGGTCAATACGCTTCTGATGTGAGTAGCTTCCACCCCTCTCTTGCTTCCCTGAAGAATTCTACGCACTTCAATTTACATCCCATCCACACGGAAGTTTGGGCATTTTCAAGAGACTCAAATTGTGATCCTTTTAAATGTTCTT